TGCATGCAGGGAAATGGCTTATAAATATAGTACTTCAACTCGTAGAATATATGAAATTTGGAAAAGACATGCTGAAGGAATACCCTTGTGCAAACAGCAACTAATACATAGTGTTGTTTCTTCTAAAATAATATCTGAAAATAATACTTCAGATAAGAAGTCAAAGAAAAGAAAATCAGGATCTGGTACGGAGGCTAGCTTTTAGCTAATAAGGTTGGTATAACTGATATTTTGATAAAAAAAGTAGATGAAATCGATAACTTACGAGTTAAGCTTGCACAAAATCGTAAAGAAAGGGAAGAGGCTAAATGTGAGACAAAAAGGGTCTTAGATTTCAACTAATCTATTTTTGTTTTTTCTAAAATATTTTGCAATCTATTGCAGAGCAATGGCTCTTCGAGCCTACATACCATTTCAATATTAGATTTGTTATAAGTCTGTAGTTTTTTATTAAGCTCGATTAATTCAGTATTGGATTCAAGTACCTCATATAGCGATTTTTCTAACTTCTCATAGCTCATACATTTTTTTTAAAAATTGAATCATCAGAATCTATATTAAAATCCACGGGAGCGTACTATTTCTCCTGTGAAATTTGATCAGATACCAAAGGCTTAGATGTAATAGTATCCTCGTTATGTGAGCCATCTTGAGTCACAGTAGCATAATTTACTTCAAGCTTATTCTTCACCTTATGCATAGTTACAAGAAAAATGTGATCCTTTCCATTGTGATGAATCTTCATTTTATCATTATTCCAATCAATAACACATTCATATTTTTTAAGAAGTCGGTTTGAAAATATTAACATTGGCTTAGAATGTTTCACGACTACAAAATCCTCATATATAGTACAATCAGGAGTTAGTATTATTGGTAAATTACGAACGATACCAATAGACTCAATTGGAACGGTAGCAATACCACTAAGGTCATACTTCACAGATCTATTAATTTTTCTATTTATACGCTTAACAATATCTTTTGTTACGATCTTAGTTTCAGCTCCACTATCAAGTATCATTGCTGGGATTTTTAAACGCTTAATTTTGTATGATATAGTCACAATATTTGTATCAGGTTCTTTCTGACAAACAAAATCAATTTCCATAGGGTCATCCAAAGTCTCATCTTCATCCAAATTGGATATCTCTGAAGCTGGTTCTTGATAATTATTATCTTGAATATAGTATGATTTTTCATTATTAAAATTGAGCTCCTGCAATAATAAAGGTAAAATATCTTTAAGTTCACTTTGGATAATTTTACGAATAGTTTGTTCTAAAACTGTTTGCTTACTCCCACCC